TATGTAAAGAGTCAAAAATAAAACACATTATTTTAATTACTCTTTAAGTACTCCACATCTTTATATGCAATAACAAAACTATTATACTTACATTTGCACATGTGGGGGCTGAAAACGTCCCTGGTTAATGTTGTAGAACGTGAAAGCCTGTGTGGGGTTTGAGCTGTACTCATCCACTTCTATTATGAGTCGACTGTGCTGATGCCTTCTAGCTGCCATAATGTGCGACTGGGCGAAAGCCATGCTTGCACTGTGTAGCACTGCTCTTTTTCAGAGAATCATATCTGCTATCTTCCTACACCAATGGAAGAAGACCATGTCATCTCCTTACTTAATCAACACAGTCCCCTTTGGAAACCCTTAAAAGCAGATTGAAGAGATGGAGCATAACCATTTGACAGTTAATCTGTTTGGGATTTGCTTTATTTAATGTCAGATGAAGATTTAGGGGGATGGGGGTGGAATTCACAGCTCAAAGAACTCATTACAAACCTTTCCAACTCAGCAATTTGATGAATACACTTCAGTTGGGGGCTGGAGGGACGGAAACTTATAACAGAACTCATGGTGCAACACATTCAAATAAAAGACTTTCAAATCCAAAATACAGTGTAGGATTTCTGGGAAAAGGTATGCTAAATGTTAATGTTTTCCCAGCATAATTATTTACTTCACTTTTCCCCTGGTATATTCATGAATGTTGGTATCACATACCCCCGTCAAAAATTTTTAAGTGTTTGCATGCCCAAACACAACCAGAACAGAAGCATGTTTCAGTTTGTTTAAAACATGCATCAGAACCGCTGTGGCATTCATCACGAAAGGAATGTGTTGCCAGTATATGCTCCAGGGATACTAGGAAAGAGTTATGTCAATGGGCCTCCCCACCCACATTTTATGATGTTATGCCCATTTGAATAATAAATTCTGAAAAGCCTCATGGTTTTAGATTAAAGCTTTATACCACAGTATTCCACCTACTGCACATCCTATCCTACTTTCAGGCCATTTAGGCCCAAAATTTAGGGTCCAGTGGAAAAAATGTTACACAGACCAATACCAATAGAAATGTTATCATTACATTTAAAAAGGAAAAAAAAATCAATGCAATTTTTTGTGTTTGGGGTCAAATATTCCTTGTTAGATATCAACTCAAAAACAACTGAAAGGAAAAAAGAATGGAAAAGTGAACCTGATGGCATATAACAAAGAATAACCACTGAAAATAAGAACAGAAATTAAGCTTTCCAATTTAAATACAATGAATGCATTATTAGCAATAATAATAGATACTGTTTCTAGAATATGATTTTAAATAATCGTCATGTAATCCTAGCCCTCTTTAAATTAAAATGTTTTAATGTTTTATTGCAAAATATAGACCTAATTTCTTTAAAAATAACCCCCCAAATACTTTCCTTTAATCATTTCACCCAAATTTACAATAATTTAAGTTATTCACCAAAAATTTACAACTTCTAAGTGCTGCAAGATTCTTTAAATAAGCTTAACAACCCACCTCAGTCCTATTCTAATGGGCCACCACTATGCATAACGGCTGGAAAACCTTCATAATTATTTAGGCCCAGATTTTTAAGAGTATATGGGCAACTAAGGGTGTACAGAACTAATTCTGTGGAATATAGAATGTGCTGTAAGAAGTTGCATATTAAGGGTTAATGAGGGAGGAGGAAGCCTTGGACCGCTAAACCAAGCAGCATGCACAATTACAGCCCAGCCTAGACCGATGAGCAGAACATATACACAGGTAAGCAACAGGGGCCAGGGCAATGCTGTGATTAGGGAACCAGTGCACACATCCACAGGAGGCCTCAAATGCCTCTACACAAACACTCGTAGTATGGGGAACAAGCAGGAGGAACTTCCCCTCCTGCTAGATGACACCAACCCAGACATAGTGGGGATGACTGAAACGTGGTGGGACCCAACACATGACTGGGCAGTGAATATCAAGGGCTATAGGCTGTACAAGAGGGACGGGACAAGGAGGAAAGGCAGGGTTGTGGCGCTCTGCATCAAGGAGGAATATACATCCTCACCAGGTAGCACAGAGTCAGAGGAGGGGCACACAGAAGTGCTCTGGGTTAGACTACAAGGCAGTTGAGGGGAAAAAGACTTAACAGTGGGGGTCTACTTCAGACCACCCAACCAAGGGGAAGAGCTAGTCCAGGAATTTTTAAGTAAGCTCACAGAGGTAGTTAGGTCAAAGGACGTGGTCATCATGGGTGACCTGAACTTTCCAGACATCTGCTGGGCAGAGCAGTCACCCAGGTCTGACTGCTCACATAGGTTCCTAGCCCAAATGCAGGACCTCCATCTAACCCAGGAGGTGCACAGCCCCACCAGGGGAGACGCCTTGTTGGGCCTGGTGCTGGCCACGGGTGACGACCTGGTGAGGGGGCTGCGGGTGCTCGACCACCTGGGCGACAGTTATCGTTGCCTGCTAGAATTCTCGATCCAGCGCAAGGAGGCAAAGGCCTGCAGCAAGGCAGCAGCCCTAGATTTCAGGAGGGTGGACTTCAATGAGCTAAGGAGAATAGTCAGGGAAAGCACTGATGTCCCAGAGGGGAGGGGAGCCAGGTGTCCAAGAAGAGTGGTTGCTCCTTAACGAGACGATCCTCCAAGCCCAAAGGGAGGTAATCCCAATTCG